AGTGGTTCAGTGACTCCACTGTCAATGCTCTCAACTATTACTCGAATTGAGTTCTGTTTATATATTACTGTTGCCTACTGTTATACTTTAAAAGTTAGCTGGTACCATTTTTAATGCCCTTTTTATGTTTAAATGTCTATTCATTTAATAAGTTATACTAAAAAAGTTTTGAAACGGAAGTCAATAATTACGAAATTCTCAATTCAATACACAATTAAATTACTTTTATTCAATACATGAGACTCTAATAACTGAATACAGAATAACCCTGAGTATGGGAAACTACTGAATATAAAGTGTAATTTACAAATATGACTTAAAATATTTTACAATAAGTTTAAGAACTTTAAATAAAAGTAAAACTCAAGTCTTATCTCAAACTAAGGTTCGGACATAAAAATAATGACAAGAAGTGGTGGTTATCTGAACTCCACTTCAGTTTCCCTTATATTATATGACATGTTAGACTATTATGTTAGACTAATAACAAAAATAATAACAAATTGTACTGTATTTTAAGTGGTAGTGAAAACCGATTATTTACCAATCAATGAATACAATATATGTAATTTATAATTTATTTATTGTTTAAACTTTATATATCTAAGAAAGGACACCAGATAAGAATTGAACAAAATTGAACTAGTCCAAAATGAAATTTATGAAGTTTTAACATTATATTGACGAAATGAATATTTTATTAGACACTAGTATACAATAACAAGGAAAGACAATATTTGATGATACTATACATAAAATAATGTGCATAAGAATTAAATATATTATTAATGGTAAAACTAAAAGTTAACACTAACTTTACAAACTAATAATAATAACAAATGGATTACTTTGAAAACCAGTATTAACTTGAAAGTGATTCTAAAAAAGATAGATTTATTAATTTATTATTTATTAATTTAATTGTTTATAACAAATAAGTTATTAGATCTTTTTGTATTGTAATTTAAAGTACCGGTATTAATTAAACAGTTTAAATTAATTTGCGTCTGATATGATAGGTGCTTGCGATGAATGTGTAATGAAATGAACTAGATTAGAGCACTTTCACCAAAACTAATATACTTTTTGCTAAATAGTCTCCAAATTGGTTATAAAATGTTTATAATTTATGAATGAATTGATTGAAAATTACAATTATTCCTAAACCACTGGTTTGTCTCAAAAACTGATCAAAAACTTTAATTCAATGATTCAATGCAACAAAACCCCTAATAATGTAGTGTTGATTGCATTTCATGAGCGGTCCCTCACATCACATGACTGTGTGTTGAGTTGAGGACACGGTTTGTGTTGACATCTCAAGACATGGCCAGCATTTGCTTCAAACGATTCAACCATTTATTATCCAAATTGGAAACCAGTGTTGAGTTCAATAGATGTCTCTTACGGGCGAAGAATGGGACGAAAGGGTCGGTGCGGAAGAGTCACGCGTTGTAAGTATGATATGCGGTCCATGTGATGGTGTGTCTCATATGATGTCTGTCCGTCAGCACCGGTTATCGTGAGTGGAATTGGGAGCCGAACCGGCCGTACATCCAACGGCTGATGCACTTCCACGCGGCCCTCATGTGGTGTTATATCTACTGGTCTTTCAGACACAACTGGAGAGAACTCGTCGGTATGTCTTCACCGACTCTACCATTCAATGAATGCAACCATTGATGCGATGATTGTCTTAT